AGACTTAATGACAATATAGCATAAAAATAGAGAACATAGTGAAATAATGAATGTAAATGATTACAGCAATACACAAGAGATATACCAAAAGAAATAAAAATAAAAGAATACAATGTAACAGAATGCAATAGCGGTAGAATACACTTGATCACGTGGTATTGTGGGAAAAACATGCAATAAGGCTAATTATACGATTATGAGGAATAAAAATAACATATTTAGCCTGCATAAAAGTTAACGAATATAAGAACTATACATACTATACAATATTACAATAATACAATACAAAAAAAATTAACATATTTAACCTGTACTAAAAGCCAACTGATATAAGATACTATACAATACTATACAATACCACAATACAATACGATACAGTAGATACAATACCAATATAATAGATACAGATGCTATACAATACTATACAATGAAATTATAAATACATCAGTGTTGGTGACACAAAAATACATTTAAAATTGTCATGACACTAGTGATGAAAATACAAAATACATTCAGTGTTGGTGACACAAAATACATTTAAAATTGTCATGATACCAGTGATCCTAATGCAGCAAATAAATTGATGCAGTTACCTGCATAAAAGATAACTTATATAAGATACCATACAATACTATACAATACTACAATACAATAGAAAAGCTAATTAAACGATTATAATGAATAAAAATTAACATATTTAACCTGTATAAAGCCAACTGATATAGATACTATACAATACAAAACAATACCATAATACGATACGATACAGTAGATACTATACAATACTATACAATAGGAATATAAAAATACATTCAGTGTTGGTAACACAAATATACATTTAAAATTGTCATGACACTTGTGATCCTTATGCAGCAAATAAATTGATGCAGACAGTTTAAATGTGTTACTATACATTTGCAAAGGATGAAATATAGACTTAAGTATGCCACAATTATGAACATATATTATACCGTGAAAAACACAAATACATTCAATGTTGGTAAATACAATGGATATATTTAAAACAATGGATAATGGTTGGATATATTATACAATGAAAACTCTAGCGACCCCAATACATTCAGTGTTATTATTACACAGAGAATTAAATGTATGATATTACATGGGCAACTGATGAAAGAAGACAGTAACAGTATAATGTATAGCCAAATATGCAAGTCTATGGTATAACCGATTTTTACAGCAACTGGCAAACAATGTACCATTAATACGCCCAACTAGATATGCCAAGATATTATATACTATTATACAGTGAAAAACGCAAAATACGTTCAATGTAGATATTATCATAGTGCATTATGAGGGAATACAGACTCAGTAGTCAAACACTTTCACGAAGTGAACCTTCATGGAGGAGCCACATTAACATTATCTGCTCTGCGACAGAAATATTGGATCGTTAATGGCCTAGATATTGTAAGAAAAATAATTTGGAAATGTATAAAATGTTTTAAAAATCGAACAAGCACATCCAATCAGATAATGGGCGAACTACCTGCTTCTCGCGTATTGCCGGATAGAATATTCTCGAATACAGGACTGGATTTTGCAGGACCCTTCCTAATTAAAGCTAGGAAAGGAATGGAAGAGGGGAGAACGAGATATAAATGTTATGTTTGCCTTTACATATGCTTTCACCACAAAAGCCATTCACCTAGAAGTAGTTAGTGATCTAACAACTGAAGCATTCCTAGCATCTCTGAAAAGATTTGTGTCGCGCAGAGGAAAACCCAAGAAAATCTTTTCAGATAGAGGAACCAACTTTGTTGGGGATGATCGAGAATTAAAGAAGATACGTAGCTACACTTTCCTCTGAGGAAGCATTTCAAAGCTATCTGAGCGGTGAAAATATTCAATGGATCTTCAAGTCCTCCTGCTGCCCCTCACACTTTGGAGGCCTTTGGGAGGCTGGAGTGAAACAAATGAAGATTCACTTAGAGCGGACTATTGTGACCCAGGTTCTAACATACGAAGAATTTCACACCTTAATTACACAAATCGAGGCGTGTTTGAATTCTAGGCCAATAAATTCCATCTCATCTGACCCTGAAGATTTTAATCCTTTAACACTGGACATTTCCTAATTGGGACTACATTAACAGCAATTCCTGAACCTGATCTTACAAATAATAAGCTAACCCCTGCTGAAAGATGGAAAATTGACACAGCAATTTTCCAGAGCTTTTGGAACGTTGGTCTAGAGATTATCTTTCACAATTACAAGGGCGTACCAAATGGTTGAGGGATAAACCAAATTTAGCCCTCAATGACTTAGTCTTGATAAAGGACGAAAAGTTGCCTCCATTAAAAGTGGCGACTTGGACGAGTAATTGAACTTTGTCCTGTTGCTGATGGAAAAGTTCGTGTTGTGAAACTAAAAACTTGATAGGGCGAAATGAAAGCGTCCTATACATAAACTTTTCCGCTTAACCATTGAGTGAATAAGGACTCTAAAAAAACATTAATTGTATATTCATAATTTTTGTCTTTACTATTATTAATTCAGTAATATGTTTCAGATTCAGAGAATGGATTAACAATTGTGGATTATGGTAATCTAGCAGTTTCATTCATTTTGTTTTCACTTCTAGAGATTGTAAGTATGTTTTATTTGTAAAATTTGTGTGCTAAATTTAATGTTGTTATTCAATTTAAATTTGTCGTTATGCATTGTTGTTTTATATGATATATTGTTGAACGTTTGGGAAACTTGTTTAAATATAAAATTGAAGATCTTTATAACAATGTTGTAATGAACCAATGTTCATCGTGGCGGAGTATGTTCCGTCTTTTCGGTAGATAGGTGGCGCTCTTGATGCGCGCCGATGAAAAATATTTCGCTTGACGCTTGAACATGAAGAATGACGCATGTCATACCTTTTTTTATTCTTGATTATGTTTTCATGGCCGCTATAGGCGGAAGTAATATACTATATCATTAAGTTCATCGCTAATAAATGTTATTTCTATGTTCTGTGAAATCTTGAAGTTTTGATTTGAAATTCTAATGCTCTCCCAACCTGTTTCCTGAAAACGAAATCAACTTGAGAAATTATGACTCATGAAGAGACACCATACACCATAAGGCAGTAACTGTAATTTATTTATTACCTCTTATGTCAATTAAGAGTTAAAGGTATGCCATTTTCTAATGTGTAAGTCATTGTCCATTGCGTGGATTACTTTTTGAATATGATGACCCCTCTGCACAACACATTCATCTAGGTAACGTTGGAGGCTCGCCATAGATCGGCGTAACGTACTCCCTGGGACATTGCCAACGGCAGTTCGGATGCGATCCTTCAACTCAGAAATGTGGCACAACGTGTTCGGAAAACTTCTTGCTTCAGGTTGGCCCTAAAGGAAAAAGTCTGCACATGAAAGATCAGGTGAGCGAGGCAGCCAGGAAATGTCACCAAAACGCGAAATTACTCTACCTGGAAATTTCTGTCGCAATGGTCCGTCCATCTGGAGCTTTCCCACAATGTCCCAAGTTGAAATGTTGCCGAAATAGACGCTGGGTAGCAATAACAGAGTAGTTATTCTTGAAATAACTTTCAACAGCAAAGGCACGATGCTGTGCACTCCACCAATCCATATCACTGTCACACTGGAAATGGCAGCTCATTAGTACACGAATGCGGCACGAGCTGGAGCGCATTCATGCAGTACGTCATTGTGCTACGCAAGTCAAATTACGCTATGAACGCTACCTCACTCTGTATGTCATACATTTGCATTTTAATGCTTTACTGTTAAAAATGACATCCAGGTCATTTTATTAGTCCATGATTATTCGAACATAATTATCACTTCAAATCGAAATTGTTCGAATCTGGTTTCAGGCTATCGCAGTTCTACGGCAGAGCACTTGCTTGTATTAGGGGAATTTATTGGTTCGATTTCCAGTCGAAATCTTTTAAATGACGTCTAACCATCTTAAAGAAAAGTCCTTGAATAATCCGAGATATTTAAGTCGCACTTGGATGTGACCCTCCAGCCCCAGACAGGAAAAGGGGGATAAAAAGTCATTCTCAGATTATTCGTGCTCACCAATAATTGCTTATAACGTTCATCAATAATCATACACATACATTAATTACTTGAAGAGAATTAGGTATTTTTTGGAAGCAGGAAAGATGAAAAATCAGCAACGCCTTCGCCGTGAATCGAACCGCGGATCTCTGGAATACGCACCCAGCGTGCAGACCACCATACCATGAAGGCATGCCAAAAAGGCGCGAGAAATATCTTATACATTGACAAGATGATATTCTTCGAAATCATATAAATTACCAATAATTACCTCGAAATCATCTTAATTCACCAATAATCACTCACAAGGTAATATTCTTCGAAAATTATTAATCGGTTTCAATAGTTAAGGTCAATGAAAATTTGCAAACTGACAGAAGAATGTATTGCCCTGAGCCCCAACCAAAACTTGCTTTTCGAAAAGTTCATGTATTTGTACAATTATTCCCCTTTGTAATACGTAATTGTATTGAAACTATATAAACTATACAGTAAACTATATAACTCTTTATGCCCTAAATCATTATTTTTAATAAATATTGGATGCGGGGTGTACGGTGGGATTGCATGATGTACCATAATAGGTAAACTCTAAATATCTAGATCCTTTGCAAAGCTTCAGTTGCTCCTTTCAATCTTTCTTTATAAATTCTTATAAAACTTGCAAAAATTTAATAGTTAGTATGGGATGGCATTACCTGTTAACCCATGGTACATAGCTGATGTCCCCCATACTTTTACCTGTACACAGTTGCCAACTATGTGTTTTACCAATCTTCATTTTAAATGTCTGTGTTTCCAGTAGACGTTTTCAGAATTTCCATACAGTGCCTTCAGTTTTTCAATCAATTTGTGTGAAATACTTTTAGAAAGGATTTTAATGCTTAGGTCTATAACAATTTGGTACTCTGCAACAAAATGGTACTAATAACGATTTTTGACAGGACCACTTATTGGGCTTCTGGGACAGAAGTATGGAATTCGCCGTATAACAACTGCCGGTGGTGCTGTGGCGGCAATTGGAAGTATCTTGTGTTACTTCGCTCCTAATATATTTTGGATTACAGTGTTTTGGGGTGTTATTCACGGTAAGAACTTTCAGAAATCCTAAAATAAAAAGCATTTTTTATAATATTTTATAGCTTTCAGATGAGTTTAAGCTTTTATTTAAAAAAGTTTTCAGTTCAAAAGACGCATTTTTTCATATTCATTACAAATTTTTGTTTCTTAAATTTTCTTTTAATTTCGTAATAAATTTTCAACAAGAAATAACTACGTTAAATTTGAAGAGATTTAAACTTGTTTGCGTGCAATTCAGTTCAACCTTTTAAGTGCATAAAAAGATCTATAATTATTATTATTGTTCTGATTTTGTAATAAAATCACGAAATTCTGATCATCAAATTTTAATTAACGCATTTAAGAATATGCATTAAAGCAAGTATAGAAATAGATGTTAATTATCTAAAACAGTAATCTTATATGATGAATTCAGGAAAATAAAAATCTAATACAAACACTCTCTGAAGACATTAATTATTAAGATGGAAAATAATAACTTTTTATTCAAGTAAATATAATTATATTTTTCTACTCAATGTTTTCATCAATAAACATACTAATTTATATATAAGCCAATTAATTTATGTAACAAAACGGTACTTGTACGAAACAATTTTCCCTCTTTAAAAAGTAAAAGTAAATAAAATATACTACGTTAAAAAAACCATAATACGTTGAAAGTAATATTTTTTTGTTGCCTCACATCGTTAAATTATCGTAAATAAAATCTGAATTTCACTTCAGTTAGAAATATCATACTTATTTTCATCCGATATGTCTATCAATATCTAAAAAAATGTTTGTCACTTTTCTTAATTTTTAAAGAAGGTTTCTATTTTCCAGGTCTGGGATTTGGTCTGTCTACTGTATTGCACATGATGATCATTAGCCATTACTTCGATAAATATAAAGCCTCTGCCTTAGGTTTAGGATATTCAGGTGACTGTTTCGGCACATTCGTATTTCCAGTTATTATCGAATACCTTCTTTCTAAGTACGATGTAAGAGGAACTTTTCTGATTCTTGGCGGTATCGTTTTGAATGTTGTTCCTTTAGCACTTCTTCTGAAGAAACCGCCATGGTTATGTGAAGGTAAAAAACGAAGAAAAGTTATTTCAATTAAAACTCAAACAAGTAAAACCTCAGAAAAGACTCATCCAAAAGAGTTAACTGGTTACAAAAATGATGGCTTCGAAAACTGCGAAACAGACTTAAGTAGTTCGCCAAGCCATTTGCCGAAAAACACAAAGTCCATCAATAAACAAAACGAGCTTCCCATTTATCAAGAGGCAGTGGTAATGAATAGTGCTGTAAGTTTACTGAACAGGAAGAATAATTCCTTTTCGTCTCTTAGTGGTTCCGTTCGTTCAAATAAGGCCCTGCCGGAATACATGGACTGCTTTCACCATCGAGATAATTTCGAAAGGCATGATTCTTTGCCTCCAGTTCTCGAAAAAGAAGCCAATATGACAGAGACACAGCAAACAGAAAATGAAAATCCTGAATATACGCTTCACATGAACAACGACCATGAAAGAAAGAACGAAATGGATACCACGTCCTTTGAAACAACTGGTAGTATGAGAAAAAGAAGAACGTCCAGTTTCGTCGGACAGATAGCCCAGGAAATCGTTCATAAAATGCGCTCGGCAAGTTTCGCTAGTCAAGTGGCCCAAGATGGATTCATAACAAATATTAACCGTGATAACCAAGAAGAATCGGAACCAGAAGAAGATGAGCAAAGTGAACAAATAACTAATGAAAGAAACGAAGATCAGACGTCGATAGATTTTGGATCCTCCAATAAGCAAATGGGACAACAACTGATATTGTCTGTAGCAGACATGAAACTTTCTGAATCTTCTAAAGAACAAAATTTAAAACCTCAGCAGGACATTTTCAGGACCAGTTCTATTAAAAAGCTCGATTCCTTTAGATTAAAACCAAAACAACAAATGTCAATATTTAAAATGCTGCTGAAAACTAATACGAAACCTATGTTTATTTTGATAAGCATTTCAATGGCTGTATACGCTTTTCTCTTTATTGGAGTTCTCACAATTATCATTGATTATGCTGTCGATCATGGTGTGGATCATGATCGAGGAAAATACTTAGTTATCGGGTTTTCTGTAACAGATCTTATAGGCAGACTCAGTTTTGGACAAGTGATTGACAGAAAATTAGTTAAAATGAAGAACTACTCTGGTATCACAATGCTCTTGATGGGAACTTTCGTGACTGTATTGCCACTCAATTCGAGTTTTAATTTCATGATGGTTTGCATGTGTATGTACGGTTTCGTACAAGGAGGAACAGCAATAATGTTCCCGATACTAGTCACTTACTACATGGAAAAGAAAGAAGAATCAATCGCTATGGGTTGCTTAAATTTCTATGGAGGTATTCTCATGTTGCTTATGGCTCCTATGATAGGTAAGAAATTCTTTCATATATTACAGTTCTCTATTCAAATTGAAGTACACTTATTTCAAAATGTAGGAAATATAGTTTTAAACTATGATTTCTCATTATTAATTCTAAAATAAAATTATAATTTTCATGCTGATCTCAACTGAGACTATAAGGTATTTCTCCCACCTTCTTAGTGCGCCTTCGTGGTGTAGTGGCCTGCACGCTGGGCGCGTATTCTAGAGGTCCGCGGTTCGATTCCCGGCGAAGGCGTTGCTCATATTTGAAATGCCATTATCAATACTGCCTTAGACTTTCCCAGCTTGCAAATGCAGTGATGACCCTTGTTAGGCGATGTAATTTTCTATACACACAACAACAAATACAGAGGCTTGGACAAGCGGATAGGAGAATATCCCCGGAGGGCGCTTTTGGTCAGTGGGACCGTCCTCGGGATACACCGGGCGCCGGGTTTCGGCTTCCCGTGCGAGACCCTCGTGTGGCCCTTAAGTTCGACTATAGATACTGGTGGACGTGGCGCTACACCAATGAACCATATGGTAAAGGGGTGGTGTCCAAGTCCTCCTTCGCATGTCGCATGAGCCCTGCTTCCAAAAAATCCTAATGTCTCTACACTAGCGCCCGGACAAGAAAGGGTGGTGGATGATGATTCTCCACACGTAGGATTTTGCGATTGGGTTTCCCCAAAACTCAGTCGCCCTTTTAAAGGGGGAGTATATAAAGTGTTTCTCCCGCCTTCTTGGCATGCCTTCGTGGTGTGGTGGTCTGCATGCTGGGCGTGTATTCCAGAAGTCCGTGGTTCGATTCCCGGTGAAGCCGTTTTTCATGACTTCTGCTTACAAAAAATACCTAATGTCTCGACAAGAACGTTTCTGTTTTTGAAACACGAAAAGAAATTGCAACTTTTCCTTCCGTTGAAATTTTTCTTACTTAGATCATATTTATCAAAAAAAAGGGAGTAGTGCTTTCTCATAAATTATGAAACTTAATTCTTAATTATCAAATTTAGTTTAAAATTTTTTGAATAGTTGGTAAAATGGAGCTGTAATGATACTATTCTATATATATTCAATTATTCTTGTTAAATAGTGTTCAAATTTATAATTAATTGATAGTAATTATTGGCTTATTACAGGAATTATAAAAACTGCAGTTTTTAATTTTTGAATAATACACGTTTACTTTTATAAATATCTGATAAACTGAGCAAGTAATGAAAAATTTATTACTCATTTCTTAGCCAGTCTATACTTACTTTCTGAGTTTTACGCAGTTGTATTGTATCTTTATGAATCAAAAACTGAAACTTTCAGTAGAAAACATTATATGAACTTTAAATGAAGCGCCCATATGAGAATATCCGTACACATATGTTCCTGGCTGAGTCCATAGCCGAAGAGGCAAAAGGAAATTGGATCTGACTTTGAAGTATTCTATTTTATAAATTATAGGAATTTCTGTCATCAAATCTTAAATTTATTTAATTAGGAATATTAATTCCATTTATTTAGTGCAATTAATATTACTAAATAACTGCAATTAGGAATATTAATTGTATTAATAAATGAAATATATTACCGATTAAAAATAATTTAATAATTAAAAAATTAATTAATATTTATTTATATGTAACTTTATTTATTAATTCTAATTACATAAATTATTGAATAGAATTTTTTTATTAGGGATAATAAATGTTTTTATTAATGCAAGGAAATATTTAACATACCATAAAACTAACAAAAATTTAGTAGTATTCTAATTTCGTAATTTGACAAAATAAAAGAGGAAACAAAATGTATAATACAAAAATACGCCTAAAGGATAAGAAAGGATATTTTTGAAGGACATAAAACGAATACATTTTTAAGGAGCAAAATACAAAAACTACTAGAGTTTGAAAGAAGATAGAAATATACTTCAAAAGTAAACTTACTTAAAAGATAAAAATGAAAGATTTTTTTGATTGGAACATAGTTTTTTATCTTTTAATTTTATTTATGTTTTAATCTTTTACTAGGCCAAACGGGCAATTTTCTCAGAAGAACTATTTATTTCGTTTTGGCATTTTGCGTCGGTTCACTCTAAATGTCGGTTCACTTTTCAAATTTTTGTCAGCAAGTATTACAGCCCTGCATTATATTTAAAGTACACTCATGTCCATAAATTAAGGATAATGCAAAATCAGGCAAAGGAAGAGTTAGAAACAAAACAAATTTGACTTATTTGTAAAGCTCATTTATTAACCAAAAGGTAAGAGCAAAAAAAGATGCTAATATGTTTGATATTATTAAAAAAATTAGCGATTTTTTCTCCCTGGAGCAAATTACAAAAAGAACCTATTTACAAAAAGCCAATATTACATGGTTGGTATAATTGTTAATACATTGTATGTCTCTTAGACGATGCAATACAGTCCGTACAACGCCTAGGCATACTGAGTATCAGATTAGCGATCTGATCTTAGCGGATATTACACCACTCAAAAAGCAATGCTCTCCGAAGTTCCGGTAGACATGTAGGAGAGGTTGACGGGCTGCAACTTGTCGACCAAGCATGTCTTACACGTGCTCTACTGGATTCAAGTCCGGTGAGAATGCTGGCCAGTCCATACGGGTGGGATCCTCCGATTGAAGGCATTCGCTTACTATGTTTGCACGGTGAGGATGGGCGTTGTCATCCATAAACACAAATTGTGTGCCCATGGCGCCCCGAAACAAACGGTACATGCTGTTCCAGAATGACGTCCCGATAGATTTGGCTTGCCATGGTTCCAATTTGAACATGCAGGTCAGTTCTGAAACCCAGAATAATTCCACCCCAAACGAGCACTCCTGCACCATCGTAACGGTGTCGTTCAATGATGCTTTCTTGGTGGTAACGGGTACCTGGAACTCTCCATATGAAAGTCCGGCGAGAATCAGACGGCAGGCTTAACCTGGACTCGTCGGAAAATATCACACAAGCCCACTGTTGCGGTGTCCACAATGCATGCTCTCTACTCCAGGCTAACCGCAGGCGACAGTGAGTTGCAGTAAGTGGAACGCATCTGACAGGTCTACGAGCATATAGACCAATCTGCCCTAAGCGTCTGAACACGGTCTTCCTTGAAATTGTCAAACCAGTGACTGAAGAAAGCTGACGAGACAGGTCTGAGGCTGTGCTCCGCCTGTTTCTTTTGGCAGTAACTGCCAAATACCGGTCCTCATTCGCGGTTGTAACTCTGGGGCGACCTGTGCTGTAACGTCTGCTTACATTACCATCATCTTGGAATCGTTGCCAGAGCCTGGAGATGACACTCTGGGCAATTCAAAGTTCGTCTGATACTTCCAGTTGTTACGCCCACATTCCAGACGGCCGATAATTCTACCAAGTAAAAAATCATCCAAATGCATCCTTTATGTCATAATTATTCGGTTATTGCACTGAAATGCTTATAAAGCGCCTGCGAACAATTTTACTTCTTTGCCTGTATTCCTTATATATCACTCTCTTACACTCTCATCATTGTGACGTACCATCTGTGTCATCTGGTTACTTCCTGAAATTTGCATATGATTTTTGAAGATGTGTGTAGTGATTTTACAGGTGATATATTTATTTTAGAGTTCGATTTCCGCGTGACTCCGAATTATCCTTAATTTATGGAAATGAGTGTAATTAATGAAGAATTATGATGTATCTATGTTTCCGGGACTGTGAAAAAACAACGGTACCTAGAGACATCACATTTTTAATAACGTTGTACTCCATTTGAATATGGGCATCTAGAAGCCCAAATTTGGAAGTTTGAATCTGTTTTGTTATCTATTTCATATTTTGTCAAACATTAAAGAACTTTTGATTAATAAACTCAACGATTTCAAAGCAGACAATGGCAACAACTGTACGAGAAAAAAATAACATTTTTATCTCCAACATGCGAGATTGTGTATCGGAAATTCTAAAGATATGCTCGTTTAAATATTTTGTGATATTACTGTTGAATTGAATTTTATGGTTAAAGTGCGAAGAACATGATATTTAATCAGTAAAGTTAACACACAAAAAGTTAAAAAACGCTCCTTTGGGCGTAATAATTTCATGTTTTACTCATATACATACATACCTACCTAAACTTATGTACTGTGTCATCCCAAACTTTCTGAGTTTTTCAAATAGAAGCACGTTTTCCTTTAACTACTTTGTTACTTTTGATATGGAGTGCTCTTGACCTTGATCGAAACGAATGTTTAAATACGGTCTTCTCTGCCCATGTTTGCGTAATGTTGTAGCATGTGCTGAGGCAAAATTTTTGTTTCAGTGCAATGCTATGAATGAAGAACACAAAAATTCACTTTTGTCATATCATGTTCTTGTATTTTTAAAATGGGAAGAAATTGCTAATAAGACTGTAGTGTCATTAGGTTAATTGAAAGCAAGAGGAATTGAAAAATTAGCAACCGCCTTCACCGGGAACCGAAACATGGACCTCTGGAATACCGGCCCAGTGTGCAGAACCACTACTTTACGAAGGCACGCTAGGAAAGTAGGAGAAATACCTTATATATTTCCCTTTTTAAAGGGCGTCTGGAGTTTTCAGGAAATCCAATCGCCAAATCCTGGGTGTGGATAATCCTCATCCAACACCCTTTCAGTTCAGGCGCCACTTTTAGAGTCATTAGGTTAATTGAAAGCAAGAGGTATTGAAAATGAGCAACCGCCTTCTCCGGGAATCGAGCCACGGACCTCTGGAATACCGGCCCAGTGTGCAGAACCACTCCACCACGAAGGCACGCTAGGAAAGTGGGAGAAATACCTTATAGGACTACTCGTAAAATCTACATTATATAGAGAAAAAAAGCATTTTGTTTCTGATAACCCAATTGATTTCAGAAGCTCGGAAATTTAGCCTCGAATATGATACTCGGTTTGGAAGATCATCCTTTGTAAGCAAGGGCCTAGTAAAAGAAGCTATCGCTGAAAATTCATTTTATACTTTTAGAAACTATTAGACAAAGTAAATGTTCTAAATCATACAGTACGTAACCATTTGCAAAAGCTGCTACAATGTATGGGTATCCTATATTTTAACAGAGCAGGATATGCTTGTAGATGCTGAAAGTTGTCGCTCTCCCTTCTGGAATCGTTTTCATGTAATTTACTCCTACTTTTAGAAACTTAGTAACTGTCTAAAATCAAACAGCCGGGAAATAAATGCTTGGAATCTTTTTCTATCTTTCATAAATCTGTAAGTACGGCTATCTCCCTTTCTCGAACACCTTAAGCAGTTGTCAATGTACATTTAAGTCTAGTTTAAAGATCAAAATGATCAATATTATATTAAAACAAGCATAACTGTATGTCTTCATTTAGAAGTCTTAAAAAATTATTTTATCTGTGAAGAACAAGTATAAAATTAATAAAGTCATTTCATTCTCTTTATTTAAAAAAGAGGTCAATGGGTATTAAAAAGAGGTCAATGGGTCGTAAGAAAATAAAAGTCATAAAGTACTTTCATTTTTATTTTCTTACGGATGATGACTTTTGCTCAATGATTTTATTTACGCAAAAAATAAATACGGCAGTAACTAAGAAATGTGATTCTTTTTACTACAATTTTTGTTCCTGAAACATTAGCTACTTATAAGAGTAGTTAATTCGGAAATGATTTATTTGTTAGATTCGAAAAATTTTAATCAATTAAGAACATAATTTATACTAATTTCTACTTGTCAAAGTTTGACATAAAAAATTTTCAACCAACACTTTTCTTAAAAATGTTTGTAAAGTAAGACAAGTAAGAAGTGAGACATTAATACTTGTCTTGATGAACGATTTAAAGGCTTTCATAATTTTGAACTTCATTTCTGTGAAGCGTTTATTTTCTTAAAGGAATTTCTCAAAGAAATTTTCAAATATACACTGGTTTTCTCAAATTAACGAAACAAATTACAAAAATAGCGACATTACGTTCAAAAATAAGCCATTCCGTATAAAATTTGAATACATTTCAAAATAAGAGTTGATCAGTAAAACTACAGCATGCAAATTAGTGGCGCTGCAATCGAAATACGTCATCTGCGAGGAGCATAAAAATTGTATGTTTCAGAGCAAGCCTGCAAATGTCGCTGTGATACTGAGATAAGAAATCTGGGATAGCCAATTTGTAACTATAACCTTCAAGCATCGTTTGCCCGAAGAACTGCAATGGAGAGCTTTTGGAAGACTAGAGGCAGAAGAATGTGTGATAGAAGTGGCCAGATGACTAAATATGAACCCTTCTGTTCTTCTAACCACCAATTCCGCATCTAGGAGGCTCAGCCAAAGATGACCAGCCACTAAGAAGAGTGCTGATGACCAATATTTGACGAGCGCTGATGAACAGTCATACTCCAATGATGAATGATGACATTCCATACTGTTATGCGCACGAATGAATACAACATCAGATACGACTCATCTCAGATCCGCCATTGCTGCAGCCACTGGAAACTTGGTGTCAAGTTAATCAAGAGTAGAATTCTGCACGAAGGGAGTGTGTACGCGAGGCGACCAGCCGTTTGCGTTCCGCTCACGTCACATCATAGAAGAGAACGTTTCAAGCGGGCACGTCAACAGGTCCACTGGACAGCTGATCAATGAAGAGCAGTTTTCTTTATGGATAAGTCCAGGTTTAACCTCCGAAGTGATAGTAGGCGTTATTTGATTTGGAGAGAACCTGGAACCTGTTATTATCCATCAAACATCCGTGAAAGATATGCATACGGAGGAGGCAGTGCTTGTGTTTGGGCTGATATCTGTTTGGGTGGACGCACAGACTTCCTTATCCTTCCACATGGAACCATGAATGCTCAGGTCTATAGAGATGCCATCCTTGATACTTAAGTGCGCTTTTAATGCAATAAGTGGTAATATCCCTGCTACAGGACAACAACCGCTAGATCACACATGGCTCTCATCGCGGATGATTATCTTCAGCAGCAAACCATTCAGCGCTGTGATTGCCAGCTTGTTCACCGCACCTAAAGTCAATCATGCGTATTCGGAATGCCTTAAAAAAACATATAGCTGCGCTCAGTCCTCTTCTTCAGATCTTTGCTACACTTGCAATTGCTTTGAAAGAGCGATGGCTGGCATTTCCTATGGAACTGGTAGACTGCATAATTGACAGCATCGCACATCGCTATTTGTGTTGTACGTTTTAACCGTGTAAGGCTGCCTTGATCAATGCCAAGTCTGGTGCACTTCACTGTGTGTGTGTTATATTGCTTCTAGGGGAGATTGTGTTCTTTATAGAAGGTAATTTTCCTACACAAAACTCTGATACATCCCATTTGTTCATCTTATACATAGTTTAACGAGTATACACGTGTAGTACATTTTGTACACAAGAAGTTTTTAAAAAATAAGCTCTCAAAATTTTAGCTCCTCAGTGTTAATTGAGTTTGGTGTATATTTATTAATATTTCTTTTTTATTAAACTTATTTGATTCTTCTTTTCATATTTCAAAATTCAGGTTCATTCCAAATAAAATTCCCCCCCTCATTTATTACGATTTATTTTTAAAATTTGTATTTTAAAATAATTTTTATAAATTTTTCAAAAAATATTGAATTATAATTTGTAAAATTGTTACCATTATCTTAAAGTAGACGTATTTCTAAGCATGCCTGCAAAACATTACAGTTTTTTTATTCAAAATTTACGAAGATATACGTGAATTTTTTTATTGCCGCGTTTTGAAATTTGGCGTATTAGGTGAAAGCGATAAAACATCAAATGTTGTTTAGATACTTTGCTAAAATTATTTGAAAGTAGGAACGATGTGACTTTTTTTCGTTCATGCACAATGCAAAAAGGTAGGAACGAGGTGCCTTTCTTTCCGTTCCTGTCTAATGATAGGGAAAGAAAAATTATTTGCCATACATTAAGAAGTTCGCCAAGTGAATTATTCGTGACGCAAACTGAAAACATTCCACCACGATAAATTTTTTAATTTATCCGTGAAATTCGCACCAAAATTTACAAAATTTAATATTTAGGCATAATTTGAATCGTAGAAGCGAAATATGGAAAAAAATTTATTGGTATCTTATTTCAGAAAATGTTCGATTTTGTGACAAAATACTTATGTTAAGAAAATGCTTTAAATAAATCTAATATATATCCTAAGTGGCACTTTCGAGACATGTAAACGCATTTGAATTTTGTCAATCGGCCCAGTAGACAGGAGATATAAAACTGTTCCCCCTTTTTTTCCCGCATTGTACATATGTACTATATTTTGAGTAACAGTCATTTTCCTTATCCCTTTGCGGCACAGTGTGTCCGGTCTGGACACACCTAAAATTTCCTTTTGTACGCACAGAAAAATTGAATGAAAAAGTATTTATAGGTTACTCTGAACCGTTATTATTTCTAGTAGCTGGCAGCTCAACACAAACCAGTCCATATATTTTAGCCATGCTTAGTTTTTTAAGACCCTCATTTTTCAAATAAATCTTCCAGATTTTTTTAGGATATAAAAGGAATTGTTTGAAAAGAAATTTCTATGTTATTTTTTTGGTTGTATGCTAATCTAACTAATATAGAATAAATATTAGTTTAAAATTTTTACCTTGAAATCTTGCCTAAAATCCAACGGCGAACATTAGGTGGGCCCAGACCGGGCTCACCGATCATCTAGGACAACTGAGAGTCTGCATTCTTTGTTTATATGCATCTCATCGGTCAGTTCATTGACAACAATGCACATTTCAGCACTCTTTTCGAAGCTGTATTCAATCAGTGTACGACTTTGGGCACACCCACAGAATTAAAACGATAAGTGCTACCTTCACAAAATTTTACTTGTGTGCTCCTCTAGGCTAATTAGACTGCCTACCCTTTTTTTTTTTTTTTTTTTATCAAAACTCAGACTTTAAAAGGTATCGTGCCGGAAAGGGTTAATTGATGATAACCAGTGTATTTTAGAGCTGGTGAGAACAGTGAACTTCTCAAAAATAGATGGTAAATGAACTAAAATCTTAAATACAAAAATAATGTTGCAGATATTAAAAAGTACTTTGATATATGTTTTATTTATTTTTATCATTTTTGTTTTCAGGATACTTTCGAGACACTACTGGTTCGTACGATGGTGTGTTCTATATAATAGGTGGCATAGTTGCATTAGTGGGTCTTATATGGCAACTGGAACCACTGATCTTAAAATTCCAGAATAGAAAACAGAGAGAAAACGTAGTAATTTGCACAAGACTTTGAATAGACAATAATCTTACTCATGATAAAACGTGGACATGTTCCTGACGTTTATAACATCATGTATAAAACTGTACATACAAAAATATGAACATTGTAATATGTTTTGGAAATAACTATTCTTTTATCATCTATCGGCAATTAACTGTATATACGTTTTCTACATATTCATCATTATACGTATATCCAAGCTTTTTATTCATTATTTATATATATTATGAAATAAAAATCTTAGATTCCAAAAATGTTATGTTTATTTTCTTATAATCCAAAAAAGGCTTTACACTATATGTAGTTAATGCTTCATATACAGGGACAGGGACAGGGAAAAGTGGATGGAGCACCAGAACTTCGTCAGTGACTTTTACAGGTGTTGCTCCGCCGCACTACTGTACCCCGCTGGGCTTTTAGTTGGCCCGCATCGGATGCTAGCCTACCAAGACATTTACATAGTAATTTACATTAATATTAGACTTACGTATTGAATATACAATTACAAAGACATAGCATACAATTATTGCAAAGAAATTAACCTATCAACAAAAGTTGGATTATGGCAGATTGAAATAACATAATTATGGCAGATTGAAATAACAATTACTTCGAACATACATACAAACTTTCATTGTACATTGTACTTCATACAAACAATATATTTACATTAGTATATCTAGTTACATCGAATTAAAATAAACATCATTTTAAGGAGCTAATTGAAGATTTTTTTTTTTTTTTTTTTTTTTTTTTTTTTTTTTTGTGCATTTTTATCATATTTAGTTGAATTACTAAGGCGAATTCTCTTATTAATACATTTCCTTTCATTTTTTTAACTTGTTACACACAAATGCATCAGCACTGAAGTCTTACATTATTATTTTTGTAAATTAATGTATCATAAATACAGAAAATATACATTAGAAAATCACATAATACTTACATTTACACTAATATATCTAATAGAGTCGTATATTATTTACATTATTTTTTAATTAATGATTTAATTATTACACTAATGCAGTCCAAATTCTTAATGTAACCATTTTATAAAAACTATTTATACCATATTTAGCCTGTTTCAGACACTTGCAATATTTCTGAAAAACGAATCTCTCTTCCAAAACGAATGGTACAATTTATTGAAAATTGGAATAGAATGCAGATCTCATCAAGCAAAGAAGAAAATTCTTTTTTAAATATAAGATTTTCAAAACTGTATCCTAAGAGCAAATTTTCCCTCACACAGGTCTTTCCACGTTTTAAATTTTTCCATACAAACAAAATCTACAAATAAATTTCCAAGTAAACTAGGTAATAAATTAAAAGCAATTATCTACTATATTAACTCATTAACCGCCAAAACTACAAGGAATGTTTCTTTTCTAATGAAAATAATAACACATATTAAATTGAGCATTTATAACATAAATTTACATTGAAAATAAAAAAATGCTCCTACCTGTGGAAAACGCGAGTGTTGCGTTCGCGCAACGACAGCGGAATAAGACTACGGATGTTTAGCGAGTAGGATTGTACTCGTGCGATGTTTCTTTTGAGTGGAGCGCAGGATTACTTTTTAGCTGTATAACGTTTTATAAATCTACAAATCACTTTACTTGTAATTAATTTAATATTAAAATATACATTGTATTTCTTTTAAAAATACAGATTATTTCATTTGAAAGACTCAAGCATGAAAAGCTTGATTACAATCATGATGTAAAGCTACATTAGATACTTTGCATCTATAAACAGTCTGGCTATGGTACTCTTTACAACAAAGTCTTTTGTTATCAACGGACTTTACTACGATAAAATGTCTACCATCTCCATGCAATGGTTTTTGAATGCTGAATTTACTAGGTCTTCCTGTTGCTGACCTATTTCTGGCTAATTCTACACTCTCAATAGGAGTTTGCAAAGGAATAATGCATTCTCGCCTCTGAAATCTAAAAGAGACTTTATATTTCCAGTAGTAAAAAGTGGTGATATTTAATAAGTTTAGATACGGTCTCACCTCATATAATTTATCAGTATTGTCAATTTGGCTATTGTCAAATGCAAATTCTGCTTCATATTCCTGTACTGCAAACGTGATATCAATTCTCGTACAACAGGAACAGAAATGTCCTTATCAAAAGACCAATACATTTTTTCTTGAGGTAAAGAATGATATCCTGTAAGGAATAATATTCCAATAAATCTTCTTATATAGGCTTTGCAATAAATTCTTTTTTTTTTTTTTGTTTGTTTTTGTTGTTGTTGTTTGTTGTTGTTGTTGTTGTTGAGCGTATATATTTGTCTCTTCAACGAGAAGAGAGTAAATGTCTAAACCAAAAAGAAAATCGAAAATCTGTGCACTAGTTTTACCTTGTGTTTTGTCTTTTATAATTTCTCTTCTATCTCTTTCTTCATGTTCTTCCTGAGACATAACTAACAGTTCCTTTTTTATCCACTTCAAGATTTCAGTCTTCTGCTTTTTAAACCTTTTAGTATAACTGCTTTTAGAGGCTGAAACTTACTTCTTACGTGAATTTCAACTTCCCCAGCAGTATCATTTAGTAAAATATCATTATCATTATTTAAAACATTGCCATTCCTTTCTTCTTCGTCACTAGCCTCTGCAATTTCTGAGGGAACAACAACAATATCAGTTTCATTCTGGTCATTATTAACATTATCATCGTGTGTTTCTTCATCAAAAAATCTTTGAAGGGCTTCTTCTAATGTAAGATACCTCGTTCTAGACATTTTTAAACAACCAGAACATGAACCAGAACATCGAAAGGAATGAGTGAAAAAGGAGATTGACTTCCCGTTTCCTGCTGACACCTGTTTTCTCTCCCTTCCCAACACAAATATAAACATCTGACTGATGTAATGTTCTGATAAACGGTAACCTTGACTAAAAATAGATAACTCAAAAAGACGGCAATTCTTTCGTTCAATATTTTCAGTAAAAATACCCGGTCGAACTTTTGCTTAAATTTTGCTTAAAGTATGAGGTTAATTATTATAAACAAAATGATTGTTGAAGGCAAATATTTTTTTACAGAAATAATCTTTATAATATTCCCTACACAAAATCATCTGCTGGTATAAAATACCTTAGGTAGTTATATTTATATGCGCATTTATTTTGACCGTTGCGTCAACGCAACACCAGCGGCTAATGGGTTAATTTAAAACCTAGGCAAAGCAATATAACGTTTCGTATTCTTTGGTGGTATAAACTAACTAGACCATGAAAGACTGTGTAGGGAATTATTCCTAAGTATGATAAAGGTCAGAAAAGGGTGTAAAGAACATTTTATTAAGTCAAATTAATGTTCACAGATGGCATCGACTCGTACTTGCAAAAGCCAACACTTTTGGCTTAACTCAAAAGATAACGAGTTACTTAAAATTAAATGGAATTAAGTTAGCCTAACGGCTTTTTACAGGTTAGTTAACGAGGAGGCGGTCTCTCACTCCTACAATTCGGCATAAACAAGCTTAAGGGGTGTTGGAAATAAAAATTCTCCCAAAAATCGTGATTTTGGATTTTTAAATTTTCAAATTCTCTACACTTTTGGCTTTCTAAAAATGCCATACTTAAATCTCTATGAAAATTAGAACTGTAAAAACTCTAGTTTTAATTTACCATCGAAGGCTTTGATAAATGAGAATTTTTACACAAAAACGCGTTTTTCTCAAAATGTGTTTTTTATACTCGATGTACCTTTTCTCGGGAACCACTGCTCACGTGTATGTATATTTTTTATATATATTTTTTATGACTTACTTATAATGTTTCCTAATATTCATTGAAATGAGCTTTTTGCGATAAACCAAGAAAAAAATTTCACAAATTTTATTTGGGAAAAAATTTCTAAATATTATTATGCCTAATGCAATGTTCTATAAATTACTCTAAAACACAAAATGTTTCAAAAGCTCATTTCAATATAATCAGATAGGAGTTCTTTTATTACACAAAATATTTCGAACGTGTTTCTACAGCAGAATTTGAGAAAAGGTACATCGAAAACAGCCAATTTAACATTGTCGGTGTAGGGGCTTCCGACTCTTCATAATGGTACGAAGCACTCAGCTTCAGAGAAATGTAATCACTAGTAAATTCAAGATAGCAACGTGGCCTTCAAGCACACAGTACACGCTCTGAATTTGGCTTCCAAAACCTTCTCATAAATACCAACTTCTTTCTACCTTATTTTGAGTACAAGCGCGCTAGCTCATTTACGTTAGGAAACGTGGGTTGGAAGCAAGAGCGACAGGAAAGATTGCTTCAAAATACAATTAACTGTTAAGTAAATTAAATAAATCCCCACAGCGTTGTAATTTTGTACCGTGAATGTCTATAAAGTTCACTTACTCAATGCCCACTTACGAATGATTACCATATAAAAATGCCCACTACAAACCTGCAAGCATTCCACAAATTTATGATACAACATAAGCATTTAACTCACAAAATATGCAAAATGATGGATCTTTGTCAAGTTGCATAACGTCCATCAATAACATCCAATAAATAAGCATCCACGTACAGGTGCAACAACAAATATATAGCAATAAATAAAATACAACAAATTTAATAAGAAATCCTCAGTAATGTGTACCAGTTTTCAATTTTCATTAATGTCTAGCAATATGAACCAAGGAATGAACTATTTTTATAAGCATTCAGCAATGCGTACCTAAATGTACCAAGGTTGCTTTAGATAAGGGTGGACGTTGCGCTATACCAATTAACCAATATGGTAAAGGGGTGGTGCCCACGTCCTCCGTCACTCCGTCACTCACTCACTCTATTAGTGTTCACTTAAATTAACGCATTATTTCTTATGTTAAATCTATCTTGCACTTGTGCTGTTTTATCTACGCCAGAATATGATAATGAAGAGAATTTTAAATAAGGAGTGAGAATTTTTTAAAGAACAGTTGACAATCTCAGCCTGCAGTGGTAGAGCTCTTTTGAACTACCTGCTTTTACTACTGCTGCTATAAGCTAATGAAGGTTTTTGGTTGAAATTGAGTTCGTAGTCATAGAATTCGGAGCGAGGTTGCTAGACTGATAAATAGAGTGTGTGTGTGTGATTATGGCAAAGCCTCGAGGGCTATCTGCCTAAGAGGAGGAGTGCCTTCGTGGAGGACTTTCTAAGGGAAACTGGCTCGTATACACGTTACACATGGGGAAAACCACGAAAACACCCTTGCAGCCAGCCCGATCGCGGGATTTGAACCTCGAACCGAACTACCAGTGTTCAGCGACTTTACCGCTCGGCCGCTGGTGGGCGCTAGACTGATAAATAATTTGAACCGTTGTTATCTGCCTAAGCTGCAAAAAAACGGAAGTTATTACTGTTAGCTGTTTTATTTTTCTGTTGCTTCAAGTTGAAGTAAATACTTAATTTACTTTACATTACAATGATTAGGATATTCTAGTATTAAAAGGTAAAGATGGGAAAATAGTTGTTGGCTCCTACGCGGCAATATAAGTTATGTACAGCGCATTGTTTCTGCGCAACTTCAAAGTTATGTACAGCGCATTGTTTCTGCGCAACTTTAGTTAGTTAAGATTCGAACTCCTAGCGTAGTATACATGTTTTGATCCCGTATGGTCGGGAATTTATCATTTTCAATTTAGACTTTTAGTTATGATACAGTCCACGAAATAAAATTTTTGTTGTTGTTGTAACGTTGTTTTTAGTATAGAGTCTAACCAGCGACCTCAAAACATTGGTCAACGTCGGGCCCGAGCTAATTAGAATACCAAAATGGTTAATGAAGACATAACTACGTTGAACAGAAAACGTGGTGGAATTAAATCATAAATAACGAAATTAAAGTCGTCTGTCAGTGGAAAAAGTGATGATTTTGGTTTCGAACGAATAGAAGTATTGCAAGAAAAAGTGCACAAGTTAAATAAACAAATTGATGAACTTCGCTTGGATTATTACAAAGTGTGTAAAGATGAAGAAATATCAGACATCGAAGCTACTTTTGAGGAAATTGAGATGTATATTACCAATGTTCAGGTACGCCTGAAATGTCTTTATACTTCATTATGTAGTAAGAATGCAAATAATAGTATCCCAGAAACAAGAAGTAATTCATTGAATTATAAATTGCCTGAAATAACATTACCTAAATTTTCTGGCAATTTCGAAGACTAAATTTATTTAAAAACCAATTTGTAGCTTTAATTTCATCTAATAGACAATTAACAGATTCTCAGAAATTGTTTTATTTACAATCTTGTTTAATTGGTGATGCAAAGCAGATACAAACAATAGATGATACATTTTCTTCCTTATTTATGGCACTTGAAGAAAGATATGATAATAAGAGACTGGTTGTAAATTCTCACATCAATGAATTACTTTCTATTGAAAAAATAGTTCATGAAAATCCTGAAGATTTACGCTCATTAATTGATAAAGTTCAGAAACATTTAAGAGCATTAAAAGTTATGGAAATAAATATGGATAAATTAAGCGAAGCTTTGCTGATTAATATTATTCTCTTAATAAAATAGATAAAGAATCGCGTAAGCAATTTGAAATGTCATTAAATAGTAATGATTTATGTGAATGGGATTCTTTCATGACATCTCTTCAAAAGCGATGCCAGATGTTAGAAAATATGCAAAACAAAACTGTATTTGCAAAAAACAAAACAAAACATTCTTCCAAATAAGGTTCGATCGTTAGTGACAAAAACGAATAATAATAATAAATTTTTGTGTCCCCCGGTAATCACGCAATTTTTAAATGTGAAACATTTCTAGCATTAAATCCAATGGAACGATACGAAATGGTTAAAAAGCTTTCTTTGTGCATTAATTGTTTACATTCAAATCATAAAGTAACTTCCTGTCAGTCTAAACATTTTTGTTCGGTTTGCAAATTAAAACATAATTCACTTCTTCATCGGAATGACGGATCCATGTCGTCTGCAACAAGTGGGGGAAAGCAAAGTGAAACTACGCCCTCCCCAGAGAACGCAAAAAATGAGGCTGTTTTGAACAATAAATCAACAGAAAAAGCCTTATCGGCATGTCTTTTTTCGAAAAATAAAACTGTTCTCCTTTCAACTGCGATTGTTTGGGTTAGAAATATTTATGGCCAATTCGTTAGAGCAAGAACAATTCTTAACTCAGGTGCGATGTCAAATTTTGCTGTATATGAATTCTGTGAGCGTGCAAATTTCAAAAAGGAAAGAATAAATATTCCCGTTTCTAGTTTAAATGAGCAAATTTCATACATTAAATCTCGTACTTTTGCTTCTATTTTTAATGGAAATAATTAGTTCTCTGCTTCATTAAATTTTTTAGTTGTACAAAAAAATAAAATGGTTATTATTAAAGATGATCAGTTACCTCCATTTAAACGGTTACTAGAAAGAATTGATCAGACAATTCCGGGTAAAGATGGTAAGATACGAGTAGCAGTCATTAACACAAAGTTTGGTCCAATTAAAAGGCCAATATCAAAAATTTGTTTATTGCCTATTGAGGATAACTTCAAGAATTAATTTCTATTGTTAATAAAATATACATTGCTCCAAAGAGACTTACTTCGAATCTTATGGAAGAGAAACCTTAGCGACTCACCTGTGACATATAGACTCAAAACGGTGACTTATGGTACTAAAAGTGCTCCATTTTTAGCCATTAAATGCATAAAGCAAGTTGCATATGACGAAATGCATAAATATCCTGAAGCTGCTAAAGCTGTCTTGTCAGACTGTTATGTTGATGATGTCATCTCTGGTTCATCAAACTTAGACTCAGCAAGGGAATTGAAAAATCAGCTTATACAGCTTTTTCATAGTTGTGGAATGACTTTGCACAAATGGAACTCTAATTCTCCTGAACTGTTGGATAGCCCTTCTACAAGCTCTGAGCTTTCATTCTCCTCCAAAAGTGATAATGTGGTTAAAGCTTTAGGCATTACATGGAATTCTCAGAAGGATGAATTCAGCTTTAAAGTCTCAATCAAGGAGAAATCATCATATACCAAAAGAGACATTTTATCAACAATTGCCAGACTTTATGATCCTTTAGGACTGATTGGTCCGGTAATCACCAAAGCCAAGATATTTTTACAGAAATTATGGGTTCAAAAACTGAGTTGGGATGAACCATTTTTCGCAACTATTTCTCACGAATGGCAACAGATAGTTTCAAATTTAAAGGCTGTTGAAAACATAAAAGTTAATCGTTGCATCCTCTCCAATCATCCAAGCAAGATTTCACTCATTGGATATGCAGATGCTTCGGAAGCCGCTTATGGTGCAGTTGTCTACTTAATTTGTGTCGATGAAGATCACGGCTCGTCATCTCATCTACTAGCCAGCAAATCTCGTGTGGCTCCATTGAAAACTTTATCTATTCCAAGATTGGAACTTTGTGCATGTTTGTTATTGGCTCATCTGATTTCGAAAGTTAGCAACTCATTGAAGATGCATTTAGATGACATCATTCTGTGCACTGATTCAACGATAGCACTGTCATGGTTGAAGACTTCTCCTCATCTTTTGAAGACCTTTGTTGCAAATAGAGTCTCCAAAATCCAAAGACTAGTAGAGCCGCGACACTGGAAGCACGTATCATCAGCAAATAATCCGGCAGATCTGATTTCTCGTGGTGCTTATCCTCATGAACTTGTGACATCTTCCTTGTGGTGGAATGGTCCTGAACAGAACGAACTTAGTGATGCTTCTTTATTTGAACTTGACAAGACTCTCATAGATTCTCCTGCTTATCAGGATGAACTTAAAAAACCTTTAGACGTTAATTTGAACTGCAATTTAAACTTGTTTTGGAATACCTTTTTTGAATTAACAAATAATTATGTTAAACTAATTAGAATTTTAAGTCTTATTTTCAGGTTTCTGTCCAATCTGAAAGGTCCAGTGAAGAAAACAGGCCCCATTAGTAGCACTGAATATCAAGATGCGGAAATGCACTTGATAAAAATGGTTCAGGTAATAGAATTTGCAGAGGAGATTAAATCACTTCAAGATCAGAGAGTAATCAAAAGTCAGGTAAAAACTTTAAATCCATTTTTAGATGGAAAAGATATATTACGTGTGGGCGGTTGCTTAACTCATGCCACAATTAATTATGATTCTAAACATCAAATTTTATTGCCAAAAAATCATAAGCTTACCAAGCTAATATTTATTCATTATCATTTGAAAAATTTTCATGCTGGTCCTCAAGCATTGTTACATTTTGTTAGGGAAAAGGTTTTGGCCCATTGGTGGCAAGGACTTAGCTAGAAAAACAGTTCGAACTGTGTAATTTGTTTTCGTCATAAACCTATCATTTCAGATCAATTAATGGCCGATTTACCTCCTGAACGTGTAAATCCAAATCTAACCTTTCATAACACAGGGATAGATTTTGCAGGCCCTTTTCTAATCAAATATAGAAATCAAAGGAAAGGTAGTTTACATAAAGTTTATATAGCAATCTTTGTTTGCTTAGTTACAAAAGCGATTCATTTAGAAATAGTATTTGACTTAACATCTGAAGCCTTTATTGCATGTTTAAAACGATTTTTCTCGCGTAGAGGTAAAAGCTCATGTCTGTTTAGTGACAATGCAACTAATTTTGTAGGAGCTCACAAAGAGTTAAAGAAACTTGCTTCTTTAGTTACTGTCCCTGATGAAGTTTTGGGTAAGTATTTGGCATCTGAAAATATCTCTTGGAAATTTATTCCTCCTCGTGCCCCCAATTTTGGTGGAATTTGGGAGGCCGGAATCAAATCTTTCAAATTTCATCTTAAAAGAACTATTTCCGATGCTAAACTAAACTATGAAGAATTTTTAACCGTAATTGATCAAATTGAAGGAATACTAAATTCGAGACCTCTTTCTCCTTTATCGTCTGAACCTTCAGATTACGAACCCTTGACGCCAGGTCACTTTTTAATAGGTAGACCCATAAACTCAATTGTAGAACCTCAAATTTTAGACTTGTCAGAAAGCAGATTGTCAAGATGGCAAAAATTAACTAAAATGATACAGATTATATGGAAACGATGGATAACTGACTATCTTAATCACTTGCAACAACGAAAGAAATGGTATTTTTCAAAGGACAATATAAAGAAAAATACAATGGTTATTATTAAAGATGATCATTTACCTCCATTTAAATGGTTACTAGGAAGAATTGATCAGACAATTCCTGGTAAAGATGGTAAGATACGAGTAGCAGTCATTAACACAAAGTTTGGTCCAATTAAAAGGCCAATATCAAAAATTTGTTTATTGCCTATTGAGGATAACTTCAAGGATTAATTTCATTGTTAATAAAATATACATTGTTCTTTATTATACTTATATTTTGGTAATTTTGATGAAAATTGTCAATATTTTTTACTGTTTGAAATGTTGATATACTTACCATAATTATTGAAAAAATTTGCAAATGTTCAAACTTTATGGAATTTTCTGAATTGTTTATTTCATTCTGTAAATGATTTACTAACTTAAAGTTATCAGGATCAATGTTCCTTCTAACCTTCTTCGGGAACATACAAGGACCTGACTCGGAACAGACAGCTTACTAAAGCTATGTTCACTAATTGTGGTAAGTAGACAGGATACAGACGAAGGGTATACAAAACCCTTTATTTTTCTCTATATACAATAACTTCCGTACTTCGGAATACAATGACCCGCCACTCGGGGTTTAACGTAAAAGTATAAAAATAAAACTAAACTCTAATTTAACTTTAGAATAATACACGTGGAAGATTGGCCTTATAATAACACGAAGCGTATGTAGCACAGAGACTGTGAACACTACAATACGTTTTAATTTATCAAGAGGATTAAAACCTCTGGCCTGGAAGGCAAACAGCAACTGCGTAACTTCTAAGGTAAGCGGCCTGCGTTGACTTACTGCTTCCTCTCTCTCTCCTTCGCTTGGCAAAAAGGCCACACTTAAATACTTGGCGTTCGCCAGACAAACTTTGCATAAAAACCTTCACGCTTATAATTCTGGCCGGAAGTAGAAAATAAGAAGTGATAGTAAAGATTTAAAATAAAATAAACGTTAGTAAAACTTAAGATCCTTACATACTTCCCGCCAGAGTTAATTAGTTTGAAACTGAGGTCTAAACGACCTTGTTGAAAACTTTTAGCTCTAGAATCTAACGCGAGGCCAATCTTTTACAATTATAACTTCGCTAGAAACTAGAAATTTAAAAGAAAGAAATTTGTTACAATAGCAGCTCCCAGGATATACAACAATCTTTTTTCATCTGTACTGCATCTAAACAGGAGCTTTTATTCAATTCTGGTTCCTTCCAGAGATCTGGAAGGAAAACTAGTTTAATGAAATGTTACACAATGACATGGCAAGTAAACATATAGAATTATACTGCTCTTAACATTCTTATTTCATTCATGACTATTTTAATTATCTCTCCCCGTGCTCTCTGACATGTGTTGTAAAAGAACACCAAACACGAATGTGTTTCTGTCTACGTGTGCCACACTTCCTCCTACAATCAAAACACTAACGTGTTAAAATTCAACATAACGAGACCTCTTAACACACCCTAATTTCAAACTCTAAACCCTGAGGTACTATTCTAAAAGTGGCTAACTCTAAAGTGTAGCGTCAGAGAGCCTAACTACATCATTCAACCTTTAACACATATTCGCCATGATTTAGTCTTTACAGTCACACGAATAACAAATTTTTAACATTACTTTCACTTTTACCATATCACGGTATTTCTTAACATTTAAAATAACAGTTCACATGTATATAAGAACATATCAACATGCCGTTAATTTTTACACATTTGAAAACATACATTAGTAGTACATTGTTAACTTCTATTCTTTTCAAAGCAAGTGCCAATTCTTTCTACATTGAAATAATACTACATTTCAAAAAGTCTTTCAGACTAAAAACTTCTCTTGCTAGAATGTTTTAAATAAAATTTATACAAAAAACTTTTTACAATATTTAAGTTTTTACACAACGCTATTATACATCAACTTTAGTTTTACGCGCGAGTAATTGAAAAAACATAATAAGAAAATCGGTCACAACTCATTTCTCGCCCTTTTGGCGATAAAGGATAGACCTCGCATGAGGTAAAACTTCTTGAAATCTGCCACTTGCAGTAAGAATGAAAGATTAACTTAAGTTTGCAAAGTAACATAAAATTTTACTTATCTTTGTAATATTCGGACATCCTTTTCTGGGTCCAGTCTTTAAAGGTACTGCAGATAGTAGTTTGATTTATCCTCCTTCTTGTACGGGCTCGCCCTTCAGTGCTTTCCTCTGGAAGCTTCCGTTTTTCACCAGTTCGGCCACTCTTGAACACCTTGCTTTTCTCCTCTGCTTGTGGTCTTGGCCGTTTGAAGGCAGCTGGTCTTGGCGGAACCGGGAAACTTCTGTCGTGATCCTGCTTGGACCTCGTTGTTGGCCGTTCAAATTTTCCTTGTACTTTTTCCTCCGCCGCTGATGGCCCTTCCGCAGTTCGGCAAGTTTTGCTGCGTAGAGTTCTGTCGGATGAGTCGATCTTCCGTTTTAAAGCCGGGTTATAGTTGCCGTCCTTTCTCCTGGTCCTCTTCACATACGTCGTCCTTCTCCCTTCTTCATTCTGGGGGTGTTCGTGAACTCTGTTTTCTGGACGGTGGAACGGCTTCTTTTCTTGTTACCTTCAATTTTTCCGCGGGGCAATTTTCTTTTCATTGCTTCTGTCTCTCATTGGCTTGCCCTTGTACTTGTCGTTTTTCCACCTCTGGAACTTGTACCTGCGGTGTCTGCCGTGCCGGATCCTGCAAAAGATCTGAAAAGATTTGCATTTTATTACGATCGAAGTAGGGCTTATTTGATCAATGTTTGCGGAACAGGTTTCACCATTTCTGGCTTTTAACACTACAACAGCGTGAGTTATTTTTTCTATAACATATGGTCCTTCAAATCGTGGAAAAATTTGGCAGTTTTATCTTCTGGTGCTGAAGAAAGTGAATGCTTAATTTTTAAAACTTCATCCCCTACTTTATAAGTTACTCCCCGTCGTTTCAAATCATAATACAGCTTCTGTTTTCTTTGTGCTACTTCTGTATTCTTTTTTGCTTCTTTTATTAGTTTTTCTATATCACCCATTTTAAATTCTGGGGCTCTTTGTTGCACATAAAATAATTTATCTAACGGTGTTATAATCTTTCTGCCTAGAAATAACTCAGCAGGAGTTTTGCCCGTTGTATCATGTTTTGCGGTCCTAAGGGCGAAAGCAAATTCATTGACATAGTTATCCCAGCTTTTATGAAAATTTTTAACATAACTACGGATAATTTTCACTATATTTCTGTGACCCGTTCCGCTATATTTGATTGCGGCCGATACGGGACCATTTTTAAATGACGTATGCCCAGTTTTTGGCACATGTCTTCAAATATATTACTTACAAATTGAGGACCATTATCCGATATAACTTTTAGGGGCGCCCCGTATTTTAAAATATATTTATTTAAAATAGAATCAGTAACTAATTTCGCGGAGGCTCGTTTTAAGGGAACAATTTCGGTCCATTTACTAAAATGATCAACCATAACAAGGAGATAGCGACTTTTATTTAACTGACTTTTTGGGAAAGGGCCCAATAAATCGATGCCAATTATTTCATTTGGAAATTCGGATTTAATACTATTTAGAAACCCGGCCGGGCGGAAATTAATATAATTAACTGCTTGACATGTTGGGCAGGACTGGACATACGCCCTTGTTAACTTTTGCAGTTCAGGAAAGTAGACTGCCTCGCGTACGCGTTGGATAGTTTTTTCGAATACCAGCATGAGAAGCTAAAGGGCTGTCATGGAGCTCCTGCAGGATATTTAATCTAAGACTAGCTGGGATAACAGGTCGAAATTCGTTGTTGGAATTCGTAGTTTTTGTATAAAATAATAGACCATCTATTAGTTCGTAATGGGCCGCCCTATTTCTTATCGCCACAATATCTTGGTGGCTAAAATTTTCAGGATCCTTCAAATACTCATAAATACTTCCA